AGCTTGAAATCTCCTATGGAATGAGCTAACTTGCATATTGATACAATGAAGCTTGAGTGTTTCACGAACGATAAAGTGTTTCAAAAACAGGCGACTTTGTGTACCTCTAACTGGTTACAAAATGGCTTTTTGGAGATAAAAACCTTGCTGCAGGTAGCTTTAAAATTCTATGTGGAATAGGCTATATATCAAAAGCAAGCGCTATCCTGGAGCAGCACAAATTTCCTTCGAAATCCTGCCAGAGCAACTTCACCAATGGAGGAGATGGGAAATCAATCAAAACATTGATGGTTGTCACTTGTCACGTCGTAACCCAACCCGCATTTCCTGTTGCTATAGCGCTACCCCCCCCCCCCCGTTGCCAATCCCTTTCATTTACCGTATAGCTTGAAATTTTCGTGGAATGTAAATTTCGTGATTTTCGTGGTTATGGCATGGGCTGCCCAGGAAATTTAAACCCACGAAATCATTGAAGTGCCATCCCCTATAAAAAGAATGCGGATCAGTGCGGATTGCTGCGGATCGTTCCGCACGGTGATTCGGTGAACCAAGCACGTGAACGCGCGGAACGTGCACGGACGTGTGCCTAGAATGCGGATCAACCCCCAAGAATTCAGAATCATAACTTCCCGTGGATCAGTCCTCTTGTTCTTCTATTCCATTCAATCTTTATTTGTTGCAATGTTTAACTCTTTATAAAGTAAAAATAACTATTTTTAACTCAGTGTAATAATTTTAAACTTTGAATGTACGAGATTTCAGTGATCATATCAAAAGCCTTCACTCAGCAATCCGCACTGATCCGCATTCTAACGGTAACGCCCCACTAGGGGCAAACCACGAAAATATCGACCCACGAAAATATCAAGCTCCCTTTTGAGTAAAAATCATTAATTTTCTTAGTAACAAAGGAATGCGCAATTCATAGTGCTAGAATTTAACTTGCCTTTCTTTCTGTGAAGTTATCAAACTTTTTTATCATAATCTCTTTCAATATATCAGGATCAAGCACAGCAAGGTAAGGCTGTGCACCAATATAGTATCTGTATACATAATTTATGGATGTTTTTGTTTGGACAATGAAATAGATCTACTTACCCAAATACCTTACCATATTTTTTTGACCATTTCTCTAAAGCATTGATACTATTTCCCTGCATACAACAATTATGACTAGCTATCCAGCACACTTGCATGCACTTACCAATTTAAATATGTCCAAAATGTTTCCAAAGAAGGGTACAGTTGGAGGAGAATGCAAGCCAAACTTTTTAAAAAATTGGTAGGGACTATACATAAACCTGAAATAAAATAGTTAGTTTCCATGCTGCTTTTACCAACAATAATAGGTTTAGATAGTGAACTTCAAATTGATTTTAGACTTACTTGTACCAAAAAAGAAATAAAATTATTGGGAAAAAAATTCCTCCTAGGTATGCAATGAACATGTCCTCATTAGCAGCAAATAGACAATAGACTATAGTTAAGGAAGGACAGGACTACAAATGCCGTTTCCTCACTTTCTTGTGCAATTATAAACAACAGAATCCATATAACAGAGTGGCACTATAGTGTCAATTAGTCTTGCTATAGCCATATCATTTTTATTGAAAGGTTACTGAGCCACAAGAGGCAACCACTCATGTATACTTTGTTGACTACTGAGTTGCAGCTAGCTAGGTCACTGCATCCAACATATTTTCACTACAGTAAATAAATACCAGGGTATCTAAATGAACCATGCTGCAGCCATAAAATTTGGTTTAAGTTGTGACATGAACTACATGAGCAATGATGAAACAAGTAAAATGTAAAGCATTAACAAAATTTAATATAAATGATAACAAATTGAAAAAATTGTGCAGGTGCAATTAGTCAGAGTAGCCTATAGTCTTGCCGCCCAGACCTATAGTCATCATGTTTGTGTGTGGGCTGGGGAATGGCCTAGGCAATTAGTAGCCAGCAAGCCATAGTGGTTACTTTGATGTAAGTCATGCATTGATGAGTAGCTTTACCCTTTGAAATTTAATTAGTAGATAGTGGTTGCTTTGGTAACAGCATGCATTGATGGGTAGGCTTTACCCTTGGAATGCCAATTTCATCAATGCAAGCATACCAAACAAGGATCAAAGGTCACCAAGTGTTACAGACATGGTTACGCTAAGAAATCATGCTTTTTAATAATTATTATTATATGCTTACTATTATGCAGGAACAATGGTCGATAAGCTTTGCTAGCCAGGTTACCTTTGGGTCAGTTTCTTATTTCTAATTGATAGATCTATCATGATAAATAATTTATTATAGGAAATTGAAAGTTTTGGCCAGAATGGGACACTAACTGGCACTATTGTTACACCTTGCTTTGAAGATACTGTAATTCTTTATGGAGTTTGTCTGTTCTTTTGGATGCTAGCAAGTGTTAACTTCTTGTGTCGCAAAAACAGAGAATTTATCCATATTCCTTTTAATCTATTACTTTTGACTAAAATGGTAGTTTATAAACTTACAATTAGCTACAGAAATATTAATTTTTTTCTTGTAGGTTTTGTGTTTTTTTATTATGCTCTTAACACTTTCTGACTTCATCTATGCCATCATTGTGGTTAGGAAAAATGCTATAGCACCTTATTTCTTCATGTCTCCATTTGTAATAGCATTTACCATGGTATTCTGACTAGACTATTAATAAGTGACTAGTGTTATACATGTCTATTTAATAGGTAACAGTGATTCTTCTACTACAATCTGAGT